AGACGTCTGCTGTCTGCAGAGCGACGGAAAAGTTGCATTTCTTGGACTATTTTGTTAAAATGGAAGAAAAACCTGCAGCCATCACGTCCAGCCTCAGCCTCAGCCTCAGCCTGACTTAAGGATAAGATGTATCATCTCTACCCGTGCCTGAGGCTACCCGTGTCTGAGGCTACCCGTGTCTGAGGCTACCCGTGTCTGAGGCTACCCGTGTCTGAGGCTACCCGTGTCAGAGGTTACCCGTGTCAGAGGTTACCCGTGTCTGAGGCTACCCGTGTCTGAGGCTACCCGTGCCTGAGGCTACCCGTGTCTGAGGTTACCCGTGTCTGAGGTTACCCGTGCCTGAGGCTACCCGTGTCTGAGGTTACCCGTGTCTGAGGTTACCCGTGTCTGAGGCTACCCGTGTCAGAGGCTACCCGTGTCTGAGGCTACCCGTGTCTGAGGTTACCCGTGTCTGAGGTTACCCGTGCCTGAGGCTACCCGTGTCAGAGGCTACCCATGTCAGAGGTTACCTGTCTCTCCACAGTGATGATGAAGAACTCCATGGTGAAGCACAAGATGTATCCGGAGTGGAGGCCATGCCAGATGGTCAGAAAGAACAACGTGGTCACATGAGATAAAGTCTTATTTCCCAGGAACTTCAGCCGCTTGAACACGTGTCTGAAAGCAGAGAAACATGGAAGCCTGAGTGGATCAAAACATAAGTGGATCAGACATCAGAACTGCAGCAGCCCCGCTCACCTGCATGCTGTTGTTGCCTAGCAACTGAGTCACAGGAAGGCCTTTAGCAGCTCTACGTCCTCTACAGGACTCTACGGAGTTCTGAGATCAGGAGCGATCTGCAGGCTGCACTAATAAATGCACCAAACTGCTGTTTAAAGGCTTCAGTGTGCCTCACACTGACTGTCACATAATAAACATGGTCTGATTCACCTGCACACACACCTGTCTGACATCACAATTACAGCTCGCCTGATGTTTCGGGTCCAACATTGATATTGATTACTGATAATCAAAGAAAGACAGAGAACCGGTATACATTAAATGTTTTATATTCACAGCGTCTGATCACAACCAGATGACTGCATTAATAAGGATGAATGTGTGCAGTGGAACCAGAAGTGACGACGTCGGAGCAGTTTCAGCAGTTCTTTAATAAAAACGGTAAATTCTGTAACTGCAGCTTCTCCAGGGAATGTTTTCTGGGTTCTTTCCTCAGTGACAGTAAACTGAAGCTCTTTGGACTAAACAAGACATTTGAGGAAACTCTGATCCACATTTTTAACATTTTCCAACATTTCAGACCAAACAGCTGATCGATTCATCCGGAGAACAATCAATGACAGCGGCCCTGACTGTGTGCTCTACTTTTATGTCATCCTAATAAATAATGATCAGTCTAAGCAGCACCAGCTGATCCAGGGAAGCATTTCTTACTGAGAGTTAGAAGGAGGAGGTGATGAACTTCCTCTGGAGCTCAACCAGACAGACAAAGACTCATAAGTAACTTACATACAGTGAAGAAAGTCCTGAGTTACGTTATCAGAGTCTCAATGTCAGAGAGTTTTATTTTTATTTCAGCAGCAGTTTAATAAGAGGAGAGTTTCAGTTAATGCAGCTACAGAGAACCACGTTTTCATTCTAAAGCTACATCCAGACCAACTTTAGTCCTTCAGTTCTGTCAGGATGTGACTCCTCTGATGACTCTGACTCACCTGGAT